GAAACTTCGGAATATTACTAATTTTGTGATGCTCTTTCAAGCTGTGATGAAATTTTTGTCTAGATCAAAATTTAGTCTATAATGCAAATGGTCCATTACGCCTAGCTAGACAATTCTGCATGCTGACCTATATTTTTTCCTCCAGTGATGGTGCTGGAAGAAGTGGAACCTACATCGCAATTTCTAATCTTGTGGACAGAGTGAAAGTTGTTCAAGTCATTGACGTCTTTCAATGTGTTAAACTGATCCGCACCAAGCGTCCACAGTTTGTTGAAACAGCTGTAAGTTATGATATTTAATGAGATAGTTAATTAATGAGAAGGTATTCACAGACGTTAAAGGAAACTGTCAATGTAATACAATTTTACTTTCCGCCGGCCATCTTTACGGCTGTTTTTCATACGTGCGTATACGCACGGAATAGCTTAAATCCTTTTAAATTTTACTTATAAGATAACCTATTGAATAAAAGGATAGAATTTAGTTTTGTGTCTGATTTAATGTGTATTTGTTGAGGTAATTAGTACTAATAGAGAGGTTTAGCAAAGACGACGTGACGTCAAAGACGACGTGAAAATGGCGTGGGCACATCCATAGATGGGCAGGCATATCACGCCATTTTCACGTCGTCTTTGACGTCGCGTCGCCTCTCTAAAGGCTGATTTCCACTGTTGCGTTTTTCATACGTATGTATACGCACGTAAAACTTTAAATCCGTTTAAATGTTACTTATGAAATAACCAAATAGATAAAGCAACAGAATTTAGTGTTCCGCAAGTTTTAGTATGCATTTGTTAACTTTTTTGTAAAATATTTCAAAAATAGAAGGATTCAAAGTTTTACGTGCGTGTACGCGCGTACGAAAAACGCAACAGTGGAAATCAGCCTTAATACAGAATTTAGAACTTTTCAATGGGTACACGGACGGGTGAAAAACGCTTAACGGGAAAGCGGCCTCTAATCCAATTAACTTACAGTGGGTCACCTTAAGTTGCATTGTGCCGTGTACTTTATTAGTTTACTCTAGCTAGCTGTCTAATGCCGGACAATTTTACTTGTTAATTGTGCTTTTTACTTCTCAGGCTCAATTTAAGCTGTGCTATGATGCAGTTAGAAGTGTGTTGAGATCATTCGAAGAATATTCAAACTTTACATCCGACCTCCAAAATTATAGTACTTCATTCGTTGGGTGACATTCTTATCTGAAACTGGCAATGAAGCTGTGAAATTGTATGAATATGCTCACATATCTTCTACTAATTAACATGGTATTCTACTAAGCATTTGTAGATCATTAATTAAATAGAAGTGTTATTACTAGTATGTTAGGTTAAGTCTGACAGCGGTAAGCACTGCTACTGTCTGGGTATGAAGGAGTAAACCATAAATACAAAAGTATTGTAGCTTAGAAAGAAGTAAAAGTGTTCTCCCGTTGAAAACTATTGTGGATTAGTATATCATAGAGATTGTATATAGAAATTATATTGTACGCAAAATGGACACATGGGGTATATAGTTTCACTTTAATTTAACTTGTAAAATAACCTGTAATAATTTTCAATGTGTCATAACAATACTCGGTGTTTATTTTTACAGTAGTTTACCATAAACAGATCTAAAGTGATAGAGCTAAAAGAGTGTTTGTTTACTTTGTTATTTTGGTTTTTGTCCAATTTTAAAAGCACCTCGGACTTCCTGCTGTAGTTTATGAATAAATTTATCCTATTTTGTGCCGCTACATCGATTCCATCTTCCGCTTTCACATCTCACACTGACACGAAGACATTCGTATACATCTTACTGCTGCCAATGTAAAGCTTTTCTCAGACTCAGTTAAGATGACGTTATCTAAATGTTGTATGTGGGGTTTCCTGAAATTCATTGTATTTTCCTTGTATTTGCAGGGTAAGTGGTAAAACTAATCGTTGATGACATACGCAATTGAATTAATCCCGATGTAGACTTAGTCGCAGTAAACCTGCATTTCACGAGGGGAAATGTACATATTAGCCATGAAAGTTTTCTATCATACGGGTATACATAATTATACAGGGTATATATAAAAAAAGGAGACTTTAGAAATTAACCTTGTTATAATTTGAATGCTATAATCACTACGCTGAACACAAGTGTGTGTAAACACAATTGAATTGAATTTTGAATTACTAGGAACAAATTATGATTGTGCTTAACAACAATAGATTAATTTCTAAAGGTCTTTTTTTTATACATCCTGTAGGGGTGTATAAAAAAAAAGGTAATCGAACTTCAGCGCGCTATTATACGTGAATTACTCTGCGTATGAACAATTGGTTTTCATATTCGGAAAGATCAGGCTTTTAGCTATTGAATGACATGCTTTTCATGCCAAGTGGAGAAAAAGTAAGCATGTACGTCGTAGCTTAGCTAAGATTTATTCCTATTTAATAATAATTATGAATATGTGCGTCGTTTATTGAAAACACCAAAGGGGGTTCATTTTCAATGGTTTTAGACACAACTCTCAACGGTGAAAATATGCGATTCTGACTAACATTTTTTATCGGATTCGTATTTGCTCATCTTTTATCATTTGGCATGAAGAAGATATCATTCAACAGCTAAAAGCATGATCTTTCCGAATGTGAAAAAATCTCGTTCATACGCAGAGTAATTCAGATACAATAGCGCGCTGAAGTTCGATTACCTTTTTTTTATACGCCCTGTAGTTTACTACATGCATATGAAGGATGCTATTAAAAAAACAAAGAGTTAATCCAACTAGTATATGATCTTTGTTATACCCTATAAAGAACACCATATATATTATAGTATATTAAAATATTGCTCCTGTACTAGTAAACTGAACTGCCTTTTGAGATTTCAACCATGTTTCACTTTAGATATAAGATTGCGAGGGTCGGGTTACTAAAACCTATATTTACTTCCGCGATTGTCATTCATTTGGTGCATTGATTATATACACCAGACTGGTTATGAATGTCAAGTTCATTTTGTTATAATTATGCCTAAATTACTCGGTCTACCTTGCAGCACAAGTCTAAAACATACTTATTTCTAAAGTTTCATCAGTCAA